ACCCCAAAGGTTGGGGTGGGCTCCAGTCCAATCTTAGTTTTTCGACTTTGCTAATTTTGTACTCGTAAAAAAATATTTTAACTCATGTTATATTTAATTAGTTTAATATTAATCTTATTTTAGCACAAAATAAGTTACATTTGTTTTACATTTAAATCAATGAATTACATATTTAAATATGCTTTTAGTTTCTTTCTAGTTTTCTTTTTAGATTATTATGCTTCTTTTATGTCATTTTTTTGTTTATTTTCTTATTATTTGATTAAATAAATATTATGTGAATTTGATTGTGTTAGACTTTCATTAACATATTTAGCATGGAACTGAATTTAGCAATGTAAAATCAAGTACTTCTAATTGATTTTTAAATAAATGATAGTTGATTAATGAAATTTACTATTACATCTCATTTATTTGTCTGACAAAATTAACGAAATCACATATGTACGTAAAATGACATGACATATAAAAAGAATGACGGGACTATTACAATATTTTATAGCAATAATTATTTTACTAAATTATGTTATTTTTTAATTAAATTTAAAGTACATGAGAAAATTCATCTCTATACATTTAAAAAAAAATAATGAGATAATTAAAAAAAAATATATGTCATATGTATAACAAAGTAGTTAAAAAATAAAGTTGTTAAATTCATCTCCATATAAAATACGACTAGTTAGAAAGTATGATAATTTCTATTTTATAAATGCAACATTCACCTTTTATTATTATTATTATTTACTGTGTGTTCATGTAATTAACATTTAAATATAAAATTTATTTTTATACTTTGACTTCATGTGTCTAGATAGACTTTTTGAATTAGGTAATTCAAGTTCGAACTCGTGCTCATTTAATAAACAAACTGTCGTGGCTTAGCTTGTTTAATAAAAAAAAAAAAAACTTGAGCTTAGGTTCGACTCTTGAACTCATTTCTAAGTCATTTAATAAACCTTAATACTTAGACCAAAATCCAAATTTCTAACTGAATTATTTTCGAACACGCTCGACTTGACTTGTTTGACACACAAGGTAGATTAGTTGTTCGAGTTCATTGACTCGTTTAAATATACAAGCAAATCAAGCTCAAACTTTTACAAGTTAAATCGAATTATGTTAGAGGACACCTCCATTTTGAAGAACAACTGCATATTTTGCAGCCCGGGTGAATTTTTTTTTCGCGTTACGCCCCTGTTTGTTAATCGAGGCGAGTTCGAACAGAAAATTAGGCTTGTTTAACAATCGAACGAAAACGAGCTCGTTCGCGAACGTTTGATAATGTTCCCAAACATTTTTCAAACAAAAACGAACACGATTTTTTGCTCGGTTAATAACCGAACAAAAACGAACTCGAACATGATTTTTTCCTCGAAAAATAAACTAATGAACACGAATATTTTTCGAACGTAAACGAACACATGCTTGAACAACTCAAGATCGGTTCTGTTCAATTCACTTGCAGCACTAGTTTAGCTTTTACTATTGCATCTATTATTATGTTATAAATAGTATTCATGTTTTGCGGCAGATGGGGTCCCACTTATAAATAAATAATGTATAGTCTGCTAGCCAACTGAATATTATTAAATACATGGTGCTTGTCAAAATTCCATGCTTCTCAGCAACTACCAAAAAAA